AAGTCCCCCGCTTTTGTATATTTTATATATAAAAACAGATGAAAAATCCTTTACCATATTTGTTTTTCTTATCACCAAGAGCATCAACTTTCCCATCTGGACTGAGGCATATGAAACCACGGGTGAGCCTGTTGTAGAACTGAAGCTTATTTCCTTCTTGAAACTTCCACTTTTCAGCAGCCCACTGGTTTTGTAAACAAGAAGAAAAGACTTATGAGAAGATGCAACACACTAATTTGAGGTACATGAGAAGAACTGACCTCAAAGCCCATTTTCAATCACAATAATAGTTTAAGAAAACAATAAAAAAGTAAGTTCTTACACTTTCCTCACTCTTGAGCCTCAGCTCTTGCCCTGTACAGACAAAAACCACATGATTAGTTTACACAGCATCCTCAGGCCCTGTGATACATCTGTAGTTAGGCCGCGTTCTCCCCACCAGTTTTCACTTACTTCCAGAAAATGGGCCAGAATCTGTCACGGTCAGTTCTCTAGCGATTTTGCCATCATCCTGCCCATGATCCAGCCATCTAAAAACCAGAAATGATTTCAGTGTTTTAAACTTTATTTGTAATTCCCACAATACACTGTGCATGATATTTGCATGCTAAATCCTTCTGTTGTGTTCATTAGGACCCCAAGGCTGCCAAACAGTATAAATATCTGTTTTTAAGGAAATGAGCTTGGCTTTTGCAGAAGTACATTTTGATTTTTTTTCTTTTCTGGGGGCATGTGTGGGTGGTTCTTGATGAAACATATACTTAAATGTTTTCCTGAAGAGATATACAAGGGGCTAAGGCAGTAATTTTAAATCAGAGGGATCAGATTGAGCCCAGATCAATAACGAAACCTGCAGTGGCATAATGTTTTCTCTTCCTGTCTACAAAAGGCTAGAGCAGGATAAAAACTTTACTGTGTTCTGCAAATCCCTACACAGAAAGGCAAATACAACACAGACAACACTCCTGCTACATCTCAATTATATTTTTACAATGCCTTTGTACTTGCTTCACATATACTTACCTAAATTAAGTCTAACTCTGTTTCAGTCAAAGGGTTTTTACACATTATGAGTGCAAAATCAGCAAGAATGGTATCAAACCCTAGCAATAACTAGCACATACACTGTATTTTTCTGCCTGAAATGGATTTGAACTCTCCCTAAATTATGTATGAAACTAGCATTATAGATCTCTTCATAGCAGTTCATCTCATCTAGAATACAGAAGCAAAATTAGGTCAGGCAAAGATGAGGTGCTGTTTCTGATAGGCAGAAAGCCCTTACTCACACATAAATCAGCTTCAGTGTGCACATCGCTCACTTGGAGCTGTCTTAGGCAGTTATTTATTTACTCAGAGAAGTGAGAGAAGGAAATAGAATTGAGATGTCACTGGCAAGCTCTAGCTGTATTCATACGTGACTGGACTTTGCCCTTCCTAATATTTGCACTGATCTTTATCAATTAAGATGTTGAGAATTAACCAGGAATAGATAAAATTAGAAGTGAGCCATAGAACAGAAGATTCAGAGGAGCAATATCTGCAGGGGGAAAGTCAGGAAAATTAAAATTGCTTAAAATTATGTTGCAGTTCATTAACAGACCATAAGGAAAACAAGAGGAAAAGAGATGCTCAGATAGCTACCTTAGTGATCACCATTCCACAAAAGCTTGAAGGCTGATTCTGAGCTCACCAAGCTCGAAATATTCCTACTGATTTCTATAAAGTCGGCTTAGTCTTTTAGAGATATAGCAGCCCACTCTTCTGAAAAATCTTGTATTTTATTATGTAGAAGGATCGGCTTGTGTCAGATTCAAAGTTTTGGATATGAAGAAAGCGCCAGAAAATACATATTACATATTTCATAAAGTGCAAGAATGGAAACTTTCCTTGCAGGATTTTTCACTGATTATTCATTATCTCTATTGTATCAGGTGTTAAGGTAGAAACAACCTTTTATCATCACAGAATTGTAAAATGAATCAGATCATTTCAGCTCACTTTTTAGGAAACATGCTTCTCCATTGATGGGATATTTCAGAAGAAAAAGTATGAGCAAGTAGAGCTTTATTAAAAACCTATCCCAACTGAAACATTACCAACCTGTGACAAAAGAAAGTATAATCCAGATCTGTGATAGGATCCTTGATTACAACCTTGTCCAGAAACCAGCCATTTCCTTAAAACAAATTTCAAAATAAAAATTAATTTATGAGCAGTATATTTAATGAAGTCTGGCTTCCCGTGCCTTACTGTCCTGCACTGGAACTGCAATGTCCTCAGTTCCAATGGCAGATTTCTAGTGTCACAGCTGTCCTCATAGCTGTACAGGAGACAGTACATGCTGTAGACAGGTTGGAGTCAGCTTATGGGTCTGCAAGCTGCTTGTTCTCTACCTAGCTGTCATAACTGTGATTACACACACCACTCCTCACTGCCCGTGATCAAGTCAATTTTTTTGACATGGTTCAGTTCTGAGGCCTTGATATTAGGAAAAAATATACACAGAAAGAGTAGTCAACCATTGCAACAGGTGCCCTGGTTTAACATGGCTTAACATGCATGTTGTTGAGGGACTTATGGTTGGACTTGATGATCTTGAAAGTCTTTTCCAACCATAATGATTCTATGATTCTATGAAAAGGATCTTAAGATACAATGAAATCTGGGCGACAAACAAACTGAAAACCAAATCAAAATCAAAATATAACTCAATTATTGGTAAGAAATAATTCTGTTATCAAGACTGAAACGGGATTGCACTTTATCTCACTCTGATCTACAAATGTCCAGCAGTCCATAAAACTGTGAATGGTCTTTTGAAGGTAAAAGACAAATGTGAGACTGTTATCAGCAGGCTTCCTTTTTTTCTTTTTTTCAAAAGGGTTCTTGTCTGGAAGTTTTAGAGCGGTTTGCAAACCAAAGAGGCCAAAGGCACCTGGACCAGAAAACGTTTTTTCCTCACACTTTCTCAATGCAGACAGACAGAGAGAAACTCTCATTGCATTTGGCATAGCTCATCTGAGTTTCTATGTGTACAGTACAAATGAATTTATAATTAAAACAGAAATAGCGGAGTACTTCCTTAAAACAGGAAGTTGCAAACAAAACGCGGACTTTCACTGAGAAATTCACAGCAGGTGGCTGGGGTAGAGAAGGAAGGCAGGACCTTCCTCCCACAAAGGGTTTTCTCCTTTTCCTATTTTCCTTCCCAATTCTATGTAGTCTTATGAAAAAGAACTGCTGAAAAGCTGTAGGGGTGACTATTCTTTATTCAAAAATCTCCTTTTTCAAAAGGAAATGTATTCATTAATTGCATTCTTCACCAGTTGTCTACCACAAAAGAGATAAACAAAACCTCCAGCAATTCTCCATCTAGAAATAGGGCAGGAAAGAGCGTGGCACAGAAATACCTTAGCTTCTCTCTTTCATTCCCTCAGAAGTATCTGAGCATTATCTCTGAGTGAGCCCCGGATCAGAGGCATCCAGCAACAGCCACTCATGGAGGGGGATTACAAAACAGTTGTTGTGCTCTTTCCTTAACACTTAGAGAAAATATTGAAATGCAGGTAAACATGGGAAGAATGGGATATGATTGAGCATGGGGGAGAAAAAAGGCAGAGAATTATTTTATGACTTGTTTAACATTGCCCCATCTGTACAACCCTGCTACCTGATTCAAAACATGCTGCTATTTTATACTGCATTTAGACTCAAATGTTTACAAAATTCTGTACACAGTATTCAGCAATTATAAACACCTCTGACCTGATCCAAGGCCATTGTGCCCAATAACAATCTTGTAGAGATGCCCAAGGTGCACAGCTTCAACAGGAAAGTTGTCTGTCTGTAATCAATCAACAAAAATTCACTAAGATCTAAAAAGCAAAATAGTCTTCAGCCATGGAATCCAAAAGATCTTCTTAAACCCATAAAACTTTTGTCAAGCATGATCTATAAAATATCAGGTAACATCAGGACAAATCAAGCAAGACAGGATTCTTGAAACAACAGAAATAATGAAGCCTGATCACTTTGTTAATAAGAGTAGTTCCACTCAGATGAGTGGATCAGAGTCAGAAAACAGAAACCTATCCAAAACTTAATTGACTAAATAGTTACAAACTGCAGCGGACTTCAACATTAGAAATGCAGATTTAAAATGTAAAGTTTCATTTTCTTTCCACCTATTGACTCAAACTATTTAAAGAATTAAAAATAAAAGTATGCAGTTTACCTATTGCATAAACAAATTTTAAATTGTCTTCCTAAAACAGCTATGCCTTCTGAAAGTAACTTTAGCTTAATTATGCAATTTGGGAGGGAATATTGAAGTACAATAATTACATTTTTTATAATTATACTTTTTTCTGGGATAACTGAGAGAGAAAAACAAGCCAAACACATCAGAAAATATATTGTTTTTTACTCACTTGTCCTTTTAAAAATTTCTTGGGTTTTGGTGACCTATGTAGCTGTCTTGAACCTGTATCACCTTTTTCTCCATAGATAGAAATATAGACATCAGCTTCAGTTCCAGCATTCCACAGCTCTCCCGTTGTCACATGCACTTCATAGATAGTCACTGAAAATAAAAGATGACAGCTTTTCATATAGCAAACACTATCATAGTTATAGTATCATACAGCTGCAAAAGTGACTATAGAGTTTCTTTTAGGGGCAGCTATCATATAAAGTTTTTTTAAAAAATCTATTAAGTAAAATAATGTACAAGTTTGTTCCTGTTTTTATATTTATGTTTTTTATCCCAGAATGCCACTGTGCAGAATGCAAACAGAACTGAGTTTTAAATGCACAACAGTATTTTTTGGTTCTGCAGCCTCTCTTGAAGTCATCATAAAGCAGAAAAGTAAGAGACATAAGTTTAAGTTTAGAATGATCATAAGTGAGATCAAGACTTAAACAATCAACAGATGTCATGAACCTTTTGAATGTATTGGTTAACTCAACAAGCAAAAATGTAGCACCATTGTTTTCATTTTCTAGGACCTTAGAATTGAGAAAGCTGTGTTGCTTTAATATTTTAGTGCTTCATGCAATAGGATAGTATAAACTTTTATTATATTAATATGAAAATTCTTTAAATATTGTGAGTTTGTGAGGAAAAATCTAGGACCTAAATTTAATAACTACTTAGTGGAAATGTATAATCCACAATAAAACAAAATCTAAGTCAAAATCCCTGAAGCTCAAGATGTTGATATGTAAATAATAGATATTCATATATAAACTGTGCTTATTAAAATATAGATGTAGGAAACCCAGAAAATTCAGAATTTGCAATTATACAAATTATGCAGTAATATTCTTCAGTAGGAACATGAGAAAGGAAAAGTTTATAGGCAGTAATAATATTTTGTTAGACCAAATGAAATACAAAAAGAATGAATGAAAGCCAGAGAAAACAATCTCCTGTTCTGGATGTAGATGCCCTTGTCCTTCTCTGCCTTTCCAAACAGAAAAAAATTTCTGGACTTCTGGGTCCAGAACCATACCAACATTACCATCATTCTACTATCCTTCCCACCTGAAATATGAAGTTATGAAGTTTGATTCCAGTACATCAGTAGGAGATTGCTCAGATCTCACTCTTCTGATGGCCAAACACGTTCATTTAATAACCAGTACCAACTTACTCATGATCAATCCATATCTGGACTTGTGCCAAGTGTTTTTTTCCAGTCTTCTCTTCATTTTTATTTCTTTATGTTTATCTCATATTTATTCATATGGCATTTCTGCATGGTTTACCATACAAGCTGCTCTTGAGCAAGTTTAGATAGAAGCAACAATCTAGCTAAATCAGTATGCAGTCTGCATGCATTATTTTAATGCGCCCGCACAGAGCACTAGGATTAGGTTGCTTCTAACATCAAAGTGAGCTCATTTAGATGTGCTCACTAGGTAGCTCTACGCTCCACTGGAATATTGTACTACAGACATACTCTGTAAAAAATTCAAGAACAAAGGCTTGAAACAGTTAAATAAACAAATCTAGCATTTTTAACAAGTTTTGACACTTCCCTTACCCTTTCATAAAGCTAAGGATCATCCTAGAATTTATAATTCTTACACTTTTTATCCTACATGTTATTAGATTAGTAGTCTTTCCTTTAGATACTCCATGGATTAGTTTTCAGAACAGAGACTGAGAGAGGGAACTGTATTCTTTACATCTATTTTGGTCTATAAGTATAAAACATTATATTTGTAAACATGGTACTCTAAATTTAGTGTTAGAGTTAAGATTATTTGTGAAACTTATTTTTCCCCTCCTCTACCTATGAATTATGAGAAGTAGGACAAAAAAGTAGAATGTACTTCTTTGTCTGATCAACTAGATGGCAGGGGGAAAAAAAAGCCATGTATTCATGACTGTTGGGGCCTTAGTAAGAATATATAAGAAAGTGGAGTTTGTGGGGAACTGCACCGACGCCTAGCAACCGAACACCTGGAGGAGAACCAATCAGCTGGGAGCCCATAATTCGTGGGTAGAAAGGGTCAAAATTAGGAGAGTTCAGGAAAAAAAGTCAAATGTATTGCTGTTTGGTGCCTCAATCAGAGCCATGAAGTCTCTATGTAATATTTCTTAACAGTTTTATTTAATTCCCACATTTTTTCTCGTGAATATGAAAGACTATTAAATCAAAAAGTGTTTCAGCCTCATCTTGTTCAGAAATTGGTTATAAAGTGCCTCTCATCATCTCTCTTTTAGACTGAATTCAGTCCTCTTCATTTGTTCTGTTATCAAACTGTCTTCTCTGAAGCTAAAAGCTCTGCTTTCTTTTCTTCTCATGCTGAAATCTAACATTGGCAGAAAGCAGCAGAGGCTCTTTCAATTACTGAGTTAGAGCAGAAACTCCCTTCTCCCACCCTTCACACAACTCCTCTTATACCGAGTATGGCAAACGTATACAGACGTTCATTTCTTCCTTTGCTGTGTGAGGGTGACGTTACCAAAGATAAAATGCAGATTGAGAGAGTCGTTTAAGTGTGCTGTTGTAGTTTATGATATTTCAGGATTACCTGATAATAAAAATCTTTCATTATTTATTTATTTCAGAAACAAAGGAACAACTTAGAAAGAAGAGCCTGAAATTAGAAATCATGTATGTATGGTCAAGGTGCCAGAATATTCAGTAAGGAAGGAAGCTCTGGAAAAGAACCGATATTGCAAGGTAGGAATTCAAATTTATTCAAATTAATTACATGTTAATGATAATTAATTAATAACATGTTAATGATCATTAATTACTGTTTATTTAAAATATTGGATTTTTTTACTATTGCACTAGTTCCCCTATGCTAATAGTATTAGGAGTCTCCCAAAGAGACCAAACCTGAGAGGAAGGAGGCTCATTACTTCTGGGACTTTTCATTTCTTGGGGCATAAGGATGCAGAACGGTTATTCTGCATCCCAGTTCACTGTGGTTAGTGCTGGACAATACTTCTTCACAGCATTTCATGAGCCATTTACTTCTGCTAACTAGACTGCTGGAAAAAGTCTTTCCTGCTGTTCTTTTTCTTTCAAAGGCATATTAATGAGTCACACACAATTTTTTCCACTCTTCTTTTCAAGTTCTTAATCTCAGTGCTCAGTCATCATAGGCACAAATACAGATCGAGGCCACTCAGCTCTCCATTACTAAAATATCTGATGGCATGTATCTCCACATTCACATGCCTTTTCCAGACACTCAAATTATCTTTTTTTCCTCCTCCTCTAGCCTGTACCCATAAAACTTACGGGGGGGTAACGTTTCATACCTGATCAGCAAAAGTACTGCAATACACCGAGTATTGTTATACTATTAAACATTCTGAAAGGTAAGTCAGTAGCTTTTGGAGCCTAATAGTGGGAATTTCTCATACCCTATTAATCTTATATTCTGCAGTTTTCCCAGAAAGAGAGAAGAGCAAAAGTACTGCAATACACCGAGTATTGTTATACTATTAAACATTCTGAAAGGTAAGTCAGTAGCTTTTGGAGCCTAATAGTGGGAATTTCTCATACCCTATTAATCTTATATTCTGCAGTTTTCCCAGAAAGAGAGAAGAGGAGGACCTGGAACACATCCCAGGTGGATCTTGCTCAAGAGAAAACTTCAGTAACATTGATATTGCAATGACATTTCTCCTATCACATGTACCTCCTAAAAGATAGGAATCTCTACAACAGCTTCTTGCTTCCTCACCAACATCTCTCCTCAGAAATGCTGGTCCTGCTCTGCTCCTGTGCTTTCCTGGGGCTAGGAAGCAGCAGTGCCAGCTGTGGAGAATGGAAAAGGAAGCACAGCCTTTGCCCACCTCCTTCCCATTGCTAAAGCAGAGAGACAGTATAGCAAAAATAATCCCATATAGAATCATAGAATTGGAAGAGACCTTCAAGATCATTAAGTCTAAACATAAACCCATCACCTCCACACCTGTCAAACCATGTGCCTAGGTGCCTCAGCTACACGTTTCTTGAACATTGCCAGGGATGGTGACTCCACCACTTCCTTGGGCAGCCTGTTCCAATGTTTAACTAGTCCTTCTGTGTAGAAAATTTTCCTAATGTATAACCTGAACCTCCTCTAGTGCAACTTGAGGCCATTTTATCTTGTCCTATCTGTAGTTATTCTGGAGAAGAGACTGAACCCTGCCTCACTACATGGGTGACAGGAATTGGTACAGGACCGCAAAAGATAGGGCATTACAATCACTAATACCACAACAGCAGCAGCACCTAATAATGTTGCCATTGTTTGGTATCCCGGGCCCTTAAAATTACAAAGCAATCTTGATATCAGCATGAAAATGATGGGGATTTGTATACTTGTAAAAAATTGAAAGTGTTGTTAAAGTTTTATTCCAAACATAGAAATTAAAATTAAAACAGCAGCTGTAATAGTCATACCAAATTATAATCCCTAGCAGAATTTGTGATCTGACTCATGATTGTCATATGTTTCTTCTGTTTCCTGATTTTTATGAATAAAAATATAAAAGAATATCTGTTAGATGTTGTTACCATTGTCTCTACTTTTAGATGCTGAAAGTCTTACCAAAGCAGGAGTCTTTTTGAAAACAATGGAAAATTCATCTCATTAAGGACTCTGCCATCTCCCCTTCAGTGAATTTTAACCTTTTTAATCTGAGTATGTCGAGTAATCAGAGGAAAAGTGCACAGAAGAAGCATTTTAATTGCCAAAAAGTAGTAGAGGGACTGATGAAAATAGGAAGTGCATCTCTATCAGCCTGAGTTTGTGGCCTGACTTGGCTGATGTGGTATTAGGCTTACCTGGAAGAACTGGTTGACCATGATGTAAAACAGGAAGCTCCAGACAGATTTCCCCATCACCTTGGTCCCAGGTTAGCCATCGACGTGCAGGGAAGTAAAACTGCTCTCCTGAGTAGAGGTTCAGCAACCGCACCTAAAGCAGCACCAGGAATTACAATTTAAGTCACTGCAACCTGAATTGGAGTAGTAGAGGACTTGATGTCTGTGGGAACCTGCTGAAATCTGTACAGGTAAAGTTCTGTGCTAACAGATAGGATCATAGAACCATGGTTTTGGGGCATGCCTGTTCCCTGGATACAAAAATCTCTGACCCTTCGGGTAACTCAAGTAAAGTGCCACAAAATTGGAATTATTGGCTCAGATACCTTCCTGAAAAGAATAGCCATGTTGTTCAAGTTGATAGATTCATGCATACCTGCACCAGGTGGCATGGTTTACCAAACAGTAATACTTGCAATAGCATTCTTTTAACCTGTTTTCTTATTACAACAGGTATTAAAGGAACAGGTTTTGATTCGTTAACACTGCTTGTGGCATAAATCCACTATGAAAGCACTAGACACAACACCAACATGTCAAAGACAATTTTCTTCCATAAGAAGAAAACTTGTACATAATAGCAAAGAGACTGTGTGGTCACACCAGCTGAAGAAAAGAAAGAGCTTTAGTTAACCTATAATTCAAAGTTTTCCATAGTCAGCATTTCAAAAGTTGCTATATGTTTGAATAGTCCTTGATTTTGTTAATTTATGCTAGAAGCTATGCTAGATTTCGGTACAACTGAGAGAAGAGAAGGCACTTCTACCCATAATTTCACTCCTGCTCTGAGCTTTATAGAATCTAAGTTCCTTAATTGGAATATTAAATAAATTAAAAATTACTTGGAACACTTTAATCTTTTTTTTGACTGCTTATATACTAAACTTTAAAGAATGAAATTCTTCTCATCTGAAAAACCTAGCATAACCTCAGACTATCAACATCTACTGGGAAATCATGAAAAGGGAACTTGGAGTTAGAAAATTAACACCTCTGTGGTCATTTGCAAGCCTCAAACCATTTCAGCTTTAGGAGAGCCACAGATATGATACAAATTTCGGGTTTCTTCAAGAGCTTTTTGAGCAGAGTGCATATAGTTTCTTTGATTCTCTCCCTAAAATCTCAAACAGGGAATGACTAAACCCTGGTTGATGGATCACTGCCTAAAACTGTGGTTGAGGTTTGAATTGAGGTTTGGTAAGGAGAAAAAATGAAACTTGTAAACCATTAATCAACAGGATACACTGAAGTGCTAAATCACTTCTTTTAAAATTTTCCTATTGGCTTAAATTAAAATGTCCCAGTTGGGAAATGAGAAGACAAAAAAAAAGCTTTTTATTTTTTCTTTCTTTTTTTTTTTTTGTCAGACACTTTTAATCTTTCAGTATGTGTTATATACAACCACACACTGTAGCTTCTGTTCACAAAGACTGATGTACAACCAGCATGGAAAAGTTCATTTGTTGAGTCAGATTTTAGGATAACCAAAACTCCTAAAAAAAAATTAAGCATAGAAATGAACCTTTTACACATTTAGAATTCACTGTTCTCTTCTAGCTGCTCTTCACCTCAGGTACATCTCATTAGTTGGTAACCTGTTCCTCTGCATCACAGGACAAAACTAGGAGTCATTTTTCACCCTTTCATTGTGTGCTCACATGCACGTATGAAAAGAAATCAGAAGTAAAAAGTATTTTAAGGGGTATTCTGACTTCAGCATTCCCCAAAACAAAGCAGAGAAACAAATGCTTCAGCTTTCCTGTCAGGCAATCCTCACCTCAACTGATGCAGATATAATCTCAAGAATTCTAGCATGAAACTTCTTAGACACAGTGAAGTGCATATGACACAATATTTTGATGTAGGAATACATGACTAGAGACTCAAAGGATCCTGAACTTTAGCTAGGATTACCTAAGTCACACATGAATGGTCTTATTACTGAGTTTTGGTCCTAAATAAAAAGAGCTAGTTAAAGCATGACATGGCCACAGAGCTCAAACACTCGTTAGCGAATATGAAACTTCAGTGGGCACTTTCTGCTAGGTATGAATTTACCCTGAAATATGAGTTGTGATAGTGAGTTGACCTGCAAATCCTAAAGCACTTTATAAACTGCCATTTCCTAACAGAAGGATGAAAAACTCAGCTCTTTACAATGAAATAAACTACTCAGGCACGCAGGATATATCACTGGCACATATAGTACATCACTGATATAATGATAGAGCCAAGTCTTTCACTCCCAGTCCAGTAGCCTGCATGCTACATTCCAGGACTAAAGCTAGAAACTGAACTTGTTGATTCTCTTCACTTTAATATCTTTACTTTATTTGTATTGAGATCATTTTAAGTGGGAGGAAAGGAATTTGTTACCATGTTTTTTTTTCCCTCAGGAACACAGAATTAGAAACATTTGGCATGTAGCTCTATTACTATGTAGAAGGATCATCTGCCAACCACAGATTTGAGAAGAAACTGGCTAGCCAGGGGTCATTTCTTTTCCAGGTTTCCAAAAACTGTACACATTCTCCAGCATACAAAGGCTTCAGAAGACCAGACTACACCAGCCATGTGAGTCAGTCTTCCTTGCTACTCAGCCACACTTTTTCAAAGAAAGAGAATGTACAGTTTATTTATAACTGCAAAAAAACAAGGTAAGACAGATATCACCATAAGATGTCTTTAATTGCCTGCAAAATAATTCATCTTATACAATATCTTAAATAAAGTGGCAATCATATCATGAGACTAACACAATTGCTCCAAGGGCTTTTCTGACTCATATTATGGCTCCGTTGTCATAGTGACAGCTTTTGGAAAGACAAAGCTTGGGGTTTTTACCTCATCACAGTGCCACGCTGGGAAGTTCCCTGCATTTGTGTGTCCTATGCGTATTTTAAAGAGATCTCCTAGGTTTCCAGTATTGATCTGTAAAAGGAACACAATTGAGGAAACATAGCACATTCCTCACAAGAAAAAGATATGCAACAAAAATCCAATGGGTAACTGCCACGTAACATTTTTCTTTAAAGGAATATGCTGTATCAAATATTCTGACACTTAAACCAGTGTTTCCAAAGTATTTTGCTCCAGACGATCATAAGAAGCTTGACCTCTTTAAAGAATCCTCTGACAAATCTCTGTCAGCACCCTTTAAATGACATAAGATGTTGCTAGAGCTATTTTGTTCCCCGCTGAATACTGGTCTCCCTGGGAGATGAATGCAGACTGTAGGTACCACTAAAAAAATATTGGACTGGCACCAGAATCCCACTTTGTTTAGCCTCTGTACCACTGACTGATGCAGATCATTATCTCCTAAGCACCTCCCAAGTACCTCTCAGAGTTTTTCCCTGTCCTTCCAGGAAGATATGCCTTACAATTTTGGAAACAATTATGTTCAACTTTGCTGTTTCCTTTTATAAACCACTTCAATTAAATCAACTTATAAAGCTGTATTTGAAAGATTAGCTCTTGGGCAGTCTGGACAAGTGTGTCCAGTACAGATAACAGCATGCTGAGGGAATAGCTTTGTATGAAGGTTATTCAAACCACTAGTTATGAACTTAGTCATAGAAATAGAAAGCTTATCTTTGAGGCCCTGGAAATGCACTATGAGTGTCTCTCCTCCTTGCTGTATCATTTTTTGTCTCTGATATAGCCTGATATTGTTGTCCTTTATTCTGTCTTTCTACTGAATTCATTCTCGTTTCCATTTACACAGTAAAGAGGGGAATGAAACAAACTCCCTGCACTGTGAACTTCCCTGAACTTACTGTTATAAACAGTAAAGAGACAGAACAGTTAGGACAGATCAGAATTAATCTAGATTTTTCTGAGAGCGTAAGCAGAGTGGGCATTCCTTTAACTTTATAGTCTTCAGTGCTATGGATACTTACCTAAGAGGCAAATCCTAGGTTCCAAACCAGGGACAGTCTCCATATTTGGCACTTAAAAATCATTGGAGGTAAAATGAATAATGGCCAGGGGAGCAGGAAAGATAAGATTCAAAGAAGCAGGTAGAACCAGGTAACCATGTTCTGGACTGATAAAAACAGCCTCTGCATGAGACATGTTGGTTTGATCTGTTATTTTGACATTTCAGATGGAGAATGGCACACTGTCAGGAGTGGCACATTCTCCTGAGAGAGGCTGAAGAGAGCTAAGGACAAGATTTCCTACATCCAGGGTAGCTGCAAGCCTATTATGAAACAGGTGAGCACTTCAACAGTGGTAGCATCAAGTACCTTCTCTCAAAAGAGGACTTGCTATCCTGCAAACTATTTCACAAGAGCACCTGTTATATGTCCCTGGAGCAGGCACCTGCTAGATACTCACTGACTATTCCACATACACTCTGAAGTAGGGATCTCTTGATAGGAGACCTATTTGGGCTCCCTTAAATCATCATAGTACAAGAATGATGGGGGAGAAATTTGCTTCTGTAATTTGCAGACACAGCAGTTTCAGATAGGTATACACTGCAGGTATAAAAACAGATGTTACTTTAAAATGGCAACAGGGACTTAACATAGTTTAATATTTGCTCCATACCCTAATTATCACTTTACCATCTAGTTTTTAATATTGTTGCTCCATTTCAAATTTAAAAACAGGACCAGTATCTTTTTTTTTCTACTTCTTGATAATTTATTTGGTACTCAGTAAGATGACTGATTGTTCTTAAACAAACAAGAAATATGTTGGACCATACTGGATTTTGGGTAGGAATGTGGGAGAAAGGATACTAAATTTAGCTCCAAATTTAAGTCCTGGTTCTTATTTCCAGATATGTACACATAAAAAATCATTGTCTTTATATCGGAGAGCTTTTGAAATGTGATGTAATCTGACAGAATACAGACAGGCAATAAACTGAATACATATTACTTACTGTGAAGATGTCTTCATTGCCTCTCTGAAATAATTTCCTTTCCTCTCCATCAAGAAAAATAGGCCCTGAACTGCTGCGATCCCCATACAATGTAATATAAACCTGTGAGCTTGTTCCTGCAGATGGGATATCACTGGTGAGGACTGACACCTTCCATTTCCCAACTATGAAAAGATAAAAAGATTCATCAAATTACTTAAACTCAAGACTCTGAAGCAAAACACATTTTCAGTAAGCAGAATTCTAAGTAGGATAATGTCAATGAGTACAAAAATGTTTCTTTCATAAAAATACAGAAGACAAATACTAAAATTGCCAAGTTGGGCATGCAAAATTCAGGAATGTCAAGCTGTATTCACTTTTTTTTACTCTATATGTATGCCTACTCGATACATAAATTAGAGATCACTGATTACTTTTCAAACACTATTTGAAATATTGTTCCAAATTGTATGAAATAGGACTTTCTGTTTTAAAATGTATCAACTTCGCACAATGCTATGCTATGTAATAACACACAGGCTGGCTTTGAACCAGCTAGAACTGTAATGGCAAATGATATAATCACTTCAAATATCAGGGTCTTCTAATGTTCACTAGCTCTGCTGAATTAAAAAAAAAATCACTTTAGGAACAGATCCACACGAACACTGCTTGAATCGGTATCTCTGCAATGTTATGCTGAGCTATGCAGATGTAAGAGCTCATTTGGAATCCGCTTAGCTTTTACCAACATGTGCTTGCGTTGGACAGCATCGGCATCACAATCTGAGATATCAGTGAATACTCTCTAGTCAGTGTCTTTTTCCACTTAAAACAGTTCCATAATTATAAAGAACAAACACATGGATCTAGGTTTTGGTTTAGTATAAACCAAATATTTGGCTGAATATCTACATCCTGAAATTTAGAGAAATGGTATTACTGATAGCTGATCACAGCGGTGTTTTAATAGAGATACTATGAAGAAATATTAAGAAAACACCCCTTCTCCTCACATGTTTCCAGTTAGCTGGTACCTATCTCAGGTAGTATAGATGTGGGGGTCCTCCAAGCTTGCTAAGACTGTTATGCATCACTGATTAATAACACCAGTTTTATAAAAAAAATTCTTTAAAAAAAAACAGCAACTGCTTTACTAGCAACAAAAGCTCCCTGTTATTTAATCTTTTTCCTTTTACTTAGAATTATGATTTTCCCTTCCCTCACTGTAAATTTGATCCAATCTGCCCTGACTAAAATGTTGAGAAGCAATATGGTAATGGCATGCTATGATGATTTCTGTGTTTACTGACTACTTGGGATGTTTAAAATAGATCTAAGTGTCTTAAGTCTCAAGTGATAAATGATCATACAGCAGGACTTAGCAAAAAGATTTTTATTTTGAAAGTCACTTAGTATTTTCAATGACGGCTGAAGCATTTTCGTGAAGGAGTTAATGGACATTGATCACGATGTGTTAATAGAATCATGATGCATCAGAATATTATTTGGGAAGCCACAAGACCAATAATTTGAGGAACTGGCGTTTAGTTGTCAGTGACATTCTGGAAGAAATGAGGTAGGATAGTATTTTTTACTTGTATATATTTAGCCTCATCCAAAGCAAAAGATGTGTAAAAAATTGAAAGGTTAGGCTGACCTAAACTGAGTGTATGTCAATATTTTTGTACCTTTAAAATAAGTGAATTGAAAATGTAAGTACTTCGCACCACTTCATAACTATTAATATTACTTTTAATCGATAGCAAGAAATAAGGCTTAGTTGCTAAGGCCTAATAGCCTTTGTTGTTTTGATATTATACGATCTTAAACTATTAGTGAAACTTCATAGTAGAACCCAGGAGTCCTATTTGCAGTTGAGCATTTGCTATACTTATTCAGGAAATTTTCACTTTTTTGTGATCGTTATGTTATGTTTGTAAAAAACACACACACTGGGAACTGCAGTGGTGCAGAATCAGTAGTTATTAGCATAGATATTATCTCCCAGATTTTGAGGGGAGAGGCAGGGAGGCATTAACATGATGCTTGACTCATCTTTGAGGACAGAACCCAAGACCTTGACATGTAAATAAACCATTTTTACTTCAGCTATCAAATAAGATTTCTTAGCCCGAAAATTTGAGTGATATGGATCTTTCCAGTGTCTGATCTGTTCTGACACATACACATGCACTAATGTCAGCTGTATATAGATGTCTTCTAAAAAATCCTGTAAGAGACACTTATAAAAGACTATATAAAATGGTGATTACATTACTAGATCTTTTGGTTTCTTCCCTGCCTGAATTCTTATGAAATCTCTGTTATCTGCAAATGACAGTGATATCACTGAAAATCAAAACAGATTTGTGGAGTGTGTGTTATCAGCTGGAGTCTATGACACATAGATCTAATCTCAGCATCTTGAGCAATCAAAAAAGAAACATTGTCTAAATTCTCAGATTCTATGATTAAGCATATAGATTAAGTACTGGATAAATGGTGAATATACCAAATATGCCATAGAGTATTTGCAAACACAGAGGTTCCAATAACATTGGAGCTGGCTACAGATTCTTCAGTGTACTGTAATAATACTGCTGAAGTAGCCCCTGTAGCAGTTCAGTCTTACCATACAGAGCAATGTGTCAGTTGTCAGCATTCATAAGTAATCTGTTTTGTTTCCTACTTTTCTCTCCTTTCAAATAGTACTTTACTAGCCATTTTTTTTCCAACCTTTTTTTTTTTTTTTAACCTGATTTGTTCCACAGTCCTATTCTGAGATTTTCTTGGTTGGAAAACGCTTGGACATCCATGACCTATGGATGGCCTAAGTGGAAAGTAATAGAATTTTAAGACACAAGCACAATCTGAGAGAAGTTACATGGTTTAAGAGCAGTTATCTAAAATATTTCATTACTTGCAGAAATTTGGAGTATAATACACTGCTCAGTTTTAAAGAAATACTCTTGAGTGTCAGTAGTTTCCTGGAATATACTATGAATGTGCATATTAGCTGTACTGGGGACTTTCTAAGTAATTATACTGTCATTGTTAAATAATATAACAATCTGCCAAGCAGACACTTTTATCAAGAGACCAAGCTTCATATTTACAAGAACTGTCATAGTCTGAATGTGTTAAATTGAAAGAATAGAGAATAAATAATAGCTGTCCATCTTAGTAAATATGAAGAAGGGATGGCTCAAGGACTGGAGTCCAAAAAGATACAAAGATTGCAAAGAAAGGACTGTTGCCAGGTCTTAAAAAACAAACAAACAAACAAACAAACAAACAACAACAACAACAAACAGGAATGCACTGCTTGCTGGAAGCAAATTTACAATATTTGAGGATCTTGAAAGGAGAGGTACATTCACCACCTGTTCTTTATATTAAAATGAATACTACTATTAAAATTGTCACTTAAAATTGTCATAAAAATGATTCTTCTTGACAGAAAGGCTGTGAATATACTGTAATGGCTGACATAAATGGTAAAAAGTATTTAAAATAAGAAATGCGGAAGAAATTTCTTGGGACTAGTACAGTCTCACAAGCAGTTTTCATGCACAGAAAGCAGAAAACATAGAATCATCGAATCATTAAGGTTGGAAGGGACCTTAGGAGATTATGTAGTCCAACCCCCCTGCACACGCAGGGTCACCTAGAGCACGTGGCACAGGACTGCGTCCAAGCGGGTTTTGAAGATCTCCAGAGAAGGAGACTCCACAACCTCTCTGGGCAGCCTGTTCCAGGGCTCTGCCACCCTCCCTGTCAAGAATTTTTTCCTTAAGTTCCTTGTGAAAATGAAATTATTAAAAATGGAAACCATCATATTATATCAGAGGAAATGCTTTAACTTTGCATGAATACAATGATAAATGGAGATATTATAATGAATAACACAGGATGCTGAACAATAAAATGAAAGAAAGCTGTAAAACTGATGAGGGCAGTAATCCAGACATGCGGTTAATGAAAGTTTGGTGTCTAATTTATTTAAGAAAATTAGATGGTTTCCCTAAATAACAAGTGAAATCCTGTATATTAATGCAATGAAATAGCCACTAAAACAAATAAGCTAGAATTACTGGTGCAAAACATAAATCTGCAGCTTCAGAGATGCCAGTAAAATTATTAAATAGCAATCACACCTGGAGTATGGCTATCAAACAATAATTTATGTAAGTAACTAGTCAGGAAAGTTAGTAAATTTTATTAGCAAGTATACATAAGAAGCATGGATGAAATAGAATCTTTTTGGATCAAATTTACTTCAGAATAAGATAGCTGAAAGGAATAAGATGGTGAAAGCCAGTACCATGAAGTTTACCATTATGTGAGGATCTAACTTACAGAGATTGGAGAAAAAAACTGAATAATAATGGTAGAAAGCAGTTTCCTACTTGCCACAGTCAGTAGATTTCTTCCTGAAATAATCACTGGAGGGGATTGTATTTTAGGGTTAGATTTAATGTAGTAAAGCATGAAGATACTTTAAAAAGAGAAAATGTTCAAAATATCCTTGGAATAAGCAGTCATAGAATGATTCAGTTGAGCTAAAAAGTAGGACATGGAAAAGCATCTTATACTAAACGTTTGATTTAAAAATAACTAATTTTGAAAAGTTAAAGGAAAAGTTTAATGAAGCCTGTTGAACTGAAAAACGAGATCTATTGGAGGAAATAAAATCGAAATAGGGAAATGTTATTTAAACATATACATTAAAGAAAAATAAACATAGAGGGACTATGCACACTGAATATGAGAAGACTAATAATATTGTTACGATAGAGTAAAGTTACTTGGCCTCAGTTTTTTAATGGGAATGGTGATACACAGTGCTTGGGAAATGTCAGGATGGAAAAATTAAAATTAAAAATGGGTAGAAAGACGTAAAAAAATGCCCATGTATTTTACTCCAAAACAATAGTATGCAAAGTTTTTGAATACATTTGAGTGAAAGGACAGTTTTCTCCAGTTGTATACGGGTAAACAGGAAAAGAAAAAAAAAAAAAGAAAACAGACTCACTTTTCCAAAAATGTGCCACGTGAGGTATCTGGGCTGGCCTTGTTCAAGTACCTGGTGTCCTTCATTAAAAAAACTCATCTTTGTAGGCAGGGAAAACACACCAGTTCTAATCTATTTGAGCCTAATGTGGGAAATTAATAATTAAAATGCAGGAAGTGGTTAGTCTAAAAGCTGTACAATGATAAAATATCTAGATGGAAAATTATAAGTTTGTTCTGAAATGAGAGGTATTAATGCCTCTCATTATAGAAGTAATAGTGTGTTCCTCAGGAATCAGTATTAGGTTTGATCTGGATTTCATATTTTACCTATGTACTGCTGAAAGTAGAAAATTTCTCTAATATAGTTGCTAAGAATTATCAAAACAAGAGGATCAGAAAATCCAGAGTAATAGAAAAGAGACAATATAAAATAAAGTAAAATTTTATTTTAAATGTGTTAAAAAATAGTGCAAAAAATAATGGTATGAGCAAGTAATTTATCAGTTTTCTCAGTATCCCTACAATAAGCCTTCAGCTAAGGACTTTTGATGGTGTGGATAAATTAAAGTCAACTGGGTGTTGTTAATCCATGAAGACGTTGAATTATATCTAACTATTAGTTTGCTCATCAGTTTTCCAAATAATGCTAACATTTATTCTTTATTTAGGGCCTAGAAGCCTAGTACACAGAATGCTATATGGCATTTAGTTGAATTCTACTACTAATTTCAACTTGCATTTTCAAACCTATGTTTTATTTCTGATCTGCCATGTAAACAGATGAAATAAATACCATTGAGTCTACTCATTTGGAACACTCACGAAACACCACTGTAGGACACTAAAGGATGTGGAGATTGTTGAAAGAAGATCAGAAACAAGGCCAGTATAATCTGATAATGGCATCGTTGGTGCATAATATATTAGCACAATTTCACAATGTTGTTTTAGGGTTGTAATGATATTTATTACATAGAATATAATACTGCTTCAAACAAGAGAAACTTCTTAGTTATGAGGACGTATAGCTGCCATTGTGAACTCTTAAGGAGAATTGAAGGATTCCAGGTTTCTTAGTGATACTGCAAAGCCGCTTTGCTCCAGGTCCCACTCTGCTTCCTTCGGTATGCCCAGGTTTCTTCAGGGAGGCAATCAAGACACATAGGCCACAGGAGAGTTGTATGGGCTTTGATTAAGCCCCTGGTCTGCATTACTGAAGCACCACAACCTAAGGGTTCTCACAGTACAGACATGCTGTTTACTCCACACACGGCCTCCAAGAAAACAGAATGGCCAAATTCTCACACTCTAACTGAACAATGGCACCTTACTTCTTCAGAGGCATCTCTGACTCTGACAGGGAAGTAAGGCAGTGTTTGGTATTAGAGATTAAAACGTAGCCACAAAAACAAAATACTCATGTTAATCTCCATATACATTAAATAATTTCTATTTTTTTATTTAAAATAACTTACTTGAAATTGTAAGCTGAATAATATGTACACTACACACAGAGGATATGAAAAGATGCTGTAGACAGGTATTCAAAATAATTCCAACAATAGATCAAAAGATCCTGAAACATAACTAATAATAGCTCTAAGACTATCTTAATATGACATATTTACAAAAAAAAAAAAAAAAAGAGCATGGATGACCTTTATATAAAACCTCAACAGAGGTTGAAAAGAACACACACAGTTAAAACACATGGTATATGCAAAATATGTAAAATGTTTTTTAAGAATAAGGTGTGCTGCCTCAGAAGGGAACATGGCAAGGGCAGTCAGGACGTCCACTGACACAGTCTCCCTCCTCAGTCGCTGTTGAATACTAGGCATAATAAATAAGCTCCATTTGTAGTATCCTCTGAGTAAAAGAGGCAATCTCATTTGGGTATGGATGACCTACATGTAGCCTGAAAGATCACTTTACTCACCTAACTATTCTGAATTTAGTCTTTGAAAACTGAAGTAGCTGGTTGATAATGTTAATCTATATAAAATTAACAGGACTACTATTTGATGCTTTTCATTATAGTACAGCACTTGAATAGTATTTCCTACTTTTCATTTCAAATTAACCACCTCAAGTGACTGTTTTTGGACAAAACCATTATACTGAAAGATAATTCTCAAGTTTGTTCTCAAATGTTACAAAATACAGAACTTAGATAGATATTTCAAACTTCCAATCCTTTGTTGAACAAGTAGTAATTGTTTCTCTATGAAAAAGATGGTTGAAATATTACTGAGTATATTTAAGCAGACAACATTTCTGAGGATTTTTTTTTAAAAAACAAGAAAACACCACTAGGAGAAGAGCTTTTGTCCTGCACTGGTTCCTACAAAAGTTCTGAGTAATTATCTGATTTTTAGCAGTCATATACAATTGTGATTAGTATTTATTCAGGTTTAAGATATCTGCACCTTGGGAGTTCTGCTTGGGATTGGCATTCAGCATTTTACTTTATGATTAATTATTTTCTGAAAATGTTCTTATCAATATAATGTTACAGAGCTCTCAAGATTCATGTTACGTATCTTTCTTTTCTTTGCTGTTTCCACTGTCCATGGCACAGAAGGAAATACCTTCTTCATCTTCTCCTGCAGGAAAGGCATTTTCATTTTTTGTAATTTCAGAGGCATTATGTTCAACACTACTTAAAGAAATTTCACGCTTCAAGAATATTTCAGAATGGCAGATTCGTGATGGATCTGTCAACAAAGTAGACAATTTTTCTTCAACAATATTAATTAGAATTACTCTTAAATCTTGGCATGTTTTGAGGTTTGTGTCTGGTGTCTCACTATTTGTGCCTACCGCTACACCACTGACTTTAGGCTTACATACACTATTACGACAATTGTGGATCTTCACAGGATTTACCTCCATATCCTCTATAACACAGAACTTCCCTAAATTGCTTCTCTCTTTCGAGGTTGAAGATTTTAGAACGTCAAGGTTACTAATAAAATCTAATGTGTTATTAGCATAAAATCTATTAAAAATATTATTGGCAATCTTACTGATACAGTTATTCTTAATAGTCACATAATTATTTTCATCTTTTATTAAATCTTTGCAAGACCATAGTAAATGTTGACCCTTCTTGGCCAATGAGTAGAGACCTAGCTGGTTCTCAAGGTCAGATGCTTTTTGGTAGACATATCCTCTCTGTTCCTCATTAACTGGTGTTACTATTGCCATCAGTATTGGACAATGTTGGCCACATATAGCATGAAGTTTATCTAAAGAATCTTCTTCCCGAAGAGTACTTCTGTTAGCATTACTGACATCATTTGGCTGAGACTGTATGGGTTCATCATTTAAAGGCTGTTTTAATGGATGCACCTTGTTATCAGGCAATCTAAACTCTACAGGTGTTAAGGGTGTAAAACTGGTATTAGCTCCTGTGGAAACACATTTAGAAGTAGAACATTCCATTACTGATGGGTTGATTTTTTCTTTGTTTCCTATAGGAAGAGAGCTGGTTTTACAGTGGAGGCTAGGTTTGCTTTTTGTACTCAAGTCATCCAGAAAAGGATCTGAATCACTATTATGAGGTATATTGAAGTAGTTACAAACATTTTCTGAGGGTTTAACCATATCTTCAAGTTCTGAAGAAGAAATTTCTTTGAGGGCTGGATATTGAGTCAGATTGCCAAAGTGTGAATATGGAGCATCTTCGCTATTGGTATCAAACATTGTGTCTGTTGATGTTGAATCCAAATTACCATACATTCCAATCCTTTCAGGTGGCGATTGTCTGATCAAATGATTTTCTTTAAGTAGCCATTTGCCTTTATCAATCAATATTCCTTCATCTTCATTAGCATGTATACTAGGTTGACAACATTGCTTTGGAGGTTCCCCTGAACAGTCATTAGTATAAGTTGTCTCTTCTCCATTAAGAGCAACTTGTGGTCCTGATAAAGAAATATTTTCTCTTCTCCATGTAATGTCATCCTTGTTTATGTTTTCTGGAAATTCTTCTGATGGCAGTGACAATTTCTCTGCCGAATAAGACCTAGATTCTTCAAAAGAAGAAACTTTTCTTTCCACCACTGTAGAGTGGAATTCCTCAGTATTCTTTTGAAATACTTTAGACATATAAGGAATTCCTGTGTGAAAGTTAGGTTTAAATGAAGCTTCTGCCTTACCATAAAGTCGTTCAATGGTCCTTTTTACATAGCCAGTATTATAATGTTTTTCAAGTGCTGCTTCCTCCCCACTTTCATTGGTCAAATCGCTGGATGCTCTAAAGTTACAATCACTATCTTCACTGTCGGGTCTGTAATCTGACCAGTCTGATGTAGCAGGACTTTTTAAGCATTTTTCTAATCGAGAAATATCGGAACATATTCTATTCTCCAGCTCTTTCACTTGTAATTTTTGTTCTCCTTCACTCATATCACATTCTGTAATTTGCTTCGATTCATAACAAAAAGATAATGGAGAAGGTGTAGATAACCTCTCAGAGGTTTCTTCATGAGTTTCTGTATCTTTCCTTCCCTCCTGAACAGAATCATCCTCATAATCATATTCTGTAGAGAGGTCAGAACCTTGATTAAGTTGGTTATTTGGCTTTTCATCATTACCTGCTGATTTTGGGGCAACTTTCTCATCTTTGCTTTGATAGGTGTTTGATAGATCTTTTTCTCCTACTACTTCAGAAGTAACCTGATCTAAGTTACAGATTTTCTCTCTAGAAGTTACCCTAGGAACAGTCGACTTAGGCTCTACTGAAGTTTCTGGCTGTTCATTATTAAGCAACGCATCAGTATCTTGAAAATGCTGCAATGAACTATCAACCATTTCTTCATTTCTTCCATGTGGCTTTACATACGATGTAAGGCTACAATCATCTGAATTAGTATTGGTGTATTTTCCATTTAGCAATGTTTTGGGAGTATTTAAATCATTTAGTTCTGAAGTCTCTGTTGCTATATAAAGTTCTTCCTGTATATCAGAACAGCTTTCTAATTCACCAACATTTTCTTGAGCTTCTTCAAAATTTATAGTGTCCTTTGGAAAGCAGGATTCAACTGAGTTTTCATTTTCTTGCAAATGTAAATTATTATGATTTTCAGATATGGGCATATTTTCAAGGCAATGTGTAGAGTCCTGTTTTTTGAGTTCTCTTCCAGACTGTAGTAAGTTATTTTCTGTTGACTGTTCAAAATGTGAGATAGCAGTCTTAAGTTCATCAATTTTTTCTATGATTGTAGTTTGTTTCAGAAATGGCAACTGTGTAAATATTTCTGAACAGCTACAGATATTTTTTTGCATATCATCTTTGGTTGTGCCCGTCAAACTCTCTCTCAGATTCACTACAAGTAGCCAAGCTAGGAGGAGATTGGAGGAAGAACCAAAAGCTGAAGGAGAGAGATCTGAAAGGCTGCATGCTTTTCCTATACAACCACTATGTTCTTTTTGGAGACCAAGCAAAACGGATTGAAATTCACCTAGCAACATGCTGGACACGCAGTTAGTCTGAACATCAGTTCCCATTTTCTCATTGACAGCTGGGGAATCAACTTGAACAGCAACTTCAGAACTTTTTCTTTCATAGAGATTGGTATCTTGAATATCAGCTTCTGATTTATTTTTATCCTTGTCATGTGTTTCATGGAACATCTGTAGTTTAGTGCCATGATGTAAATCTGACTGTAATAAATACTTGGCTTCTTCTATTACAGCTGTACTAGTGTTAATCAAAGAGTCAGTTTGTCTTCCACATGAATGTTTTGCTGATTCTTCAAAACCTTCTAATTCACATAGAGGCTTTAATGTTTTTTTGGTTAGATTATGTTCAATCAGGGTATTTTTTCTTGTTACATGAACTTTATCTGTGATATATCTAGCTTCTTTGTTGATAAAAGCATTAGTATTTTCTTCAGAAGAGGGACAAAATTTGCTATTTTCTACATTTCCTTCTTTTTTGCTTATAGGGGGTAAGACAGAATTTGGTGACAAGTTCTTCAGCCAACTTTGAACATAGTTTTCAAGTGAATGCTCAGCAACATGATCTTGAAAATCCTCCTGTTTCAGAGGCTCTAGTGTAAGGGCTCTCTCTGATACACTTGTCTTACTTGATGTTTTACTTAGATTCTTCTTAATTTTCTTTTGCTTTTTCTCTTTTTTTGATGACAAGTTTTCCAAACTATTATTATCCCTTTCTTTTTCTAAATGATGATCCTTTGATACTTCTGACAATGGCGTGGATATCATTGTTGAATTAGGTATCTGTTCAAAAGAATTCATTGTGAGATGTGTGCCTTCTTTCTCAATACTTGCCTTATCTTGACCCTGTTCAGTTTCAGTTTTTGAATCAACTCTCGTTAGGCTATCTTCTTGCTTTGCACACAAGGCCGAACTATTTTTTTTGCCTGACTTGGATTTTATTTTGTTCAGCTGTCTATTTGCTCTGATTTTCCTATTAGATAATCCACATTCCTGGTTTTCTACTGAAGACTGGTGACAAATCTCATCTTCAGGGCTTATGCTTTTGTCTGAATTAACAGATCTATCAGTAGTTTTGACAAAATATTCCATTTCTTTTTTCTGAGGCATTTCAGAATCTGTAGCCTGTATTGTGGAATTCTGTGTAGTTTCACCTGTGATATATATTCCCTGACTTTCAATTATCCCTAATACTTCTTTATCTTTTCCATCTTCATGTATATCTTGTTCTGGCAGGTTAGACAATGTTTTTCTCTTTTTCTTTTTCGTGAGGGAAGTTGCAGCCTGGCTTTCATCAGTGGGATGTGTTACCATAACAGATTCAGTCCTGGTGCTCTTTTGATTCTCACTTTCAATAACACTAGGAAAGAATCCAGTTGTTGGATCTATTTTTTCAATGGCAGCTTTACTACATGCAGGTATCATATTTGTCTGACTATGTCTGCAACAGGGTGAATGCACTGAATCTTGAGAAAAACATAATGAATCAGAACTTTTACATTTTCTTTCTTCATTTTTTGACTGAATTAATTCTGAATAGCTAATGAAAGAACTCAGTGATCTTTTTATTTGTTTAAGATCACACAGCTCCTGAGTATTGTCTGCAGAAACTGGCCTAGTTCCCTGGTAAATTTTTGATGCTGGCTTAAAACCACTGATGTTAGCTTTGCGTGTTGATACTAAGCTGTTATATGCACCCTGTTCTACAACAGATTTCTCTAATATTTTGTGTAACAATTCATCCTCATCAGACAAATCTAATTTCTTCGTATTTGAGGTTTCTATTAAATCATGACTTTTGTGGCTTACTTTAAAAAGCATTTCTTCTTTCTTCCTACTCTCTGAAGAAAGTTTTAACAAATCATTGTCACTCATTTCACTAGTACTTGATTTTTTGCTGCTTGAATGAGCAACCATGCAATACTCAGATTTGCTTTCACCATCCTGTATTTCTTCACTGTAGGAAAACTGTCCAACTGTTTTCTCCTGAATCTCCTTCTCAGATACCAAGGTGACACTTTCAACTACTGCTTTCTTTTGTCTAACCCGTCTTGGCCCAGGAGTGGGAGGCCTGTAAAAACGAGGTCTTGTTTTATTCTCAGATGCATTACTAACATCTAGGTGTGCAGAAGTGTTTGTCTGACAGGTACTATAATCAGCAGTTTTTAAATCAGACTGTGATTCTTTGTCTGACACTTCTGCATTGAACTGCTGCAGTGAGACTCCCACTCCATTGCTGGAGCTCTCCAAAAATGGAACCTCTTTTGGCTTTATACATGCTGATATATTTACATCAGATAAACAGTCTTCTGCACCTGTTGTAGAATTGCCAATATTAATATTTTTGCCATCAGAAAGGCCAGCACGACTGACAGTTGTTGTCCATTTTATGGTTTCTTCCTCTTTAATTTTGAATCGAACTTTCATTTCTACTGTCATGCTGCCATCTTGATTAAGGTGAACAGATTTCTCAATGTCATCTTCATACTGTGCCACAGATAAATCTTCATCAGTAAGTGACTGATTTCCTACTACACTTTTATAATTCTCAAGACCATAGGAAGAATCTGAGTTATTATCATTTGTGGTGTTATCATTGCTGGATCCTTTATCAGAAGAAATTGAGAATATCTGAGACCTTGAGCTAGAGGCCATTTCAGCTCTCACTACCAATAAAAACATTGAAAAAGCACAAATTAATTCAGCAGAGGAAAAGCAGTGCAGACAATTATCATGCATAAGGATCCAGATGGTGACACAGCAGACAGGCAGCAAGGGAAGAGAAAAGAAGAAAAAAGGAAAATTAGTATAAAAGAATCTAGTAAAGTTTTTTTTTCAGAGTATTAGAATAAAAAGAACAGTATATCTAATTTTTCTATTCATTTTAAGAATTTTTTTAGAGTGATATGTACCCATATTTTTATTAAGTATCATAATTGAACTAAAGTTTTATTTCATTTTATTTTGCAATGGACCCTTTCTAATCCAGACCTATGGTCTGATCTAATGCTCCAAAGCCCCCCAAATTACTAAATGCTCCAATTTGACACTTAGTCAGGAGCTGAGGTTGCCTTGAACCTGCCAAGATGTTCACAGGCCCTTGCTTTTTTGGGAGTAAAGCTTTAAAGCTGGAAAATGTTACATCTTTTTTATACTTTAACAATCACTAATGAATTAATGCCTATTTGTACTGACAGTCGGTGCTAAGGGTGTATCAGGCAAGGTGAAAATAAATCTCTCTGAACTTAGTCCGACAATCTTCCTCGTGCGAGTAATCATTATTATGAATAGAGTTACTGTCTATTGATATATGGGATAATAATAAAGAGTACAGATGCAGGCCTATGTACTGAATTTCTAATGAAATTATCCTTTAAGCATTTGAATTTCATATAAAATTTAAATGATGAAATTATGAGATATATTTATATTTTTATATTTTATGTTTTATATTTTATATGTTTTATATTTATATTTTACTCTAGAGGATGGCCCAAAACTCACTGAAGCCAATAAGAATACTTCCACTCACCTAACAGAGTTTTTGGGGATAGTCCATCATATGTTTTCATACATATTAAATACTCCTAAAATATGCATTGATTATTTTGCAACAGTTTTGGTTCTTAAAATCTCATCTCTTTCTATCAGTTGTCAGTGAAAATATGAGAGATTAAAAGAACATGAGGTAAAAAAATGAAATTTTGCTTTCTTCTTAGAAGCATTGCATCTCTAAGTTAAACAGTGTATGGACAGAGACATTATCCACAAATGCTACTGGTACATAAATAACATCATTTTATATAAAAGTTTGGAATATGGAAATGTATTTCATCACATTTAATATTAACTACATTACTAGAAGTTAAGCATTGCTCAAATATGCACATAAGGTTTAATTTCAAGATTTTTCATGATTAACATATTAACAGGAGGAGTGCCTTGCATGTTTTCCATGCATATGCTTTTCCATGAACTGAATCAGAAATAAAAGTTTAGACTAACTCCTCTAGCAGACTCCAGATCTTTCATTTCCCAAAATAAATATGTCACTTTATCTCCACGAAATGTAATTGGAAGAAAGTCCCTGAAATTTGATAATTCAGGCTTTCACATTATTTATAATGTCTTTTACAGAGGATACTATGAATTTCTCCAGTTAAGAAAACAGTATTTTTTGGTCTTTTTTTTCCCCCATCTTACACTTAATTTTTATTCACTAAGAATGTGATGAAAATACTTATCAGAATCTTAGCTATTCGCATTTTTTTATTATTTTAAGCCTGGATCTCTGACTTAGCACAAAATCTGGATGGGATTTCTATTTCTGTAGAATTTTCCTCAAAGAGTCCCTATATATTCTCTCTTCCTACAATAGCTGTATTCTGCAAACAGCCAGCAAAACTAGCTGAGCAACGCAAAGAACATGAAAGATGACAAAAACTAAAATGAATAGTTTGATGGAGGCAAAATAAACTGAGAAAGACTTGGAAGAAACTCCTTCGAGCAGATGGAAGCTGTTGTCTTGCGTAGCAGTGGGCCCCATGACACAGAAATGATTCTCACAGAAAGTCTCAGTACGGAAATAATTACAGTGTTCCCTGGCCTCATCAGTGCAGCACGCAGTCATGCCAAGAGCACATGGTATCTTTGTATAAAGCAAGTTTCCCCTTGGACAGTACCTCTGCCCTACAGCTTGCCCTAATTGCAGGAAGTCCTACATCACCTAAAGCTCTAGCTTTGCTTTATCTCATATTGCTTTATCTCCAACAGCTATTCATACTCCTGATCTTCCACTGACCAATTGCCATTCTCCCTGACCCTTGTCAGTCATGCAGCTCCAAGAGTAGTCAAAGTTTTTTCACCTTTTCCCAAACATATCTGAAAAGCATACATCATAGCCATGAGAATATAATAAAGAATAATGCTCTTTTTATGCAAGAGGGGATTTGTAAGGATGAAAGTTGTGATGGTTTTTCTGTTTATGTGGAGCAATTACGGGAAAAAAAATTGAAACGCATGATAACATGTCAAACTTTCATTTGTTAAAGTAAGATCTGAACTCTGCACAGACAATTTGAAGCTCAGACATCTAGGAGCTACATTATTCTCCAAAGTACGCTGGGGTTTCTCTTTTGCCACTGCCGTTACAAACACTGATGCAGAAAAATTGATAACACTCACAATCAATAAATAAAATACATTTAAAGATTTGCACCCATATTCTAAATAAGTCAGTTTGGAAGAAAATATGCATACCATCTGAGAAGTCAGCTTATACTTTAAAAAGAAAATCAACACTTTGATCTTTCATATGCCAATAGAGAAGTCTGAGCAAAAATAAACAGTTTCAACTGGCCTTTTTGAATATCCTTGATTCTAGTAAGATTGTCATGGTTTATGTCTTATGCTGAGAGAGATAAAACAATTAATAAAATACAAATTAATTCAAGGAACTTACTACTTTCATTCTCCAGCTTGGCATTTGCTTTTGGGTACACACGATTTCCAATTCCAAGCAATTTAGCAGTCCGTGAATACCCAAGAGGATCATAATTGCTTGGTTTAAAAGGCTCTCTCCCTGCTGCGACTACAGCTCCAGAGCACAATATCAGGGCCTGAAGATTAGGAACCTGGAAAAGAAAGTAACATTAAATTCTCTGCCTTAATAACTGCAAGTAATAATGTAAGAGATTTATCCCTTTCATGCTTTAATATCTCTACTTGTTAGTCTCTACAGTAGTCTGCAGCAAGCAATTAAATATGTATCACAGAGCAGAATTAATTTTTCAGTTCCTGTAAGGCAATTCCTATCTTTGTGAGAGTATATCATGTTATATAAATATAATAGAAAAAAATTGAGAAAAAGAGAAAAAAAACTTGCATCTAGATCACAATTCTCTTATAATTAAGTGTTTGCATATAAAATTTAATTTCATCATTGTGCAGTGACCATGCACAGCCATGAAATAAGAATGTATGTTTGGAAGTAGGTATACATACAAACAAGCACCTAGAGCAATAAATAAGGAACTCAGAATTCCTATTTACATTTACTGCAACAGAGTTCTAGCTTTAGATCAAGTTATTAGGGATCTTGTCTAAGACAGTTTTCAATTTATATGTGAATTTATGAAAGATATGTTGCAAGATAAGATTTGCAAAGTGCACTTCACTGACTTATAGGTGATGATACAGACACTTTCCTAAGCTAACACAGAAGCAGGTAAACAGAGATTTCCCTTGGGCAGACATTCTGCCTGGAATTCCCTTTACAGGTACTTGCCACCCAGTAAAATCACAAGTGCGTCTCTGGTATTAAACAACATACAGAATCAGAAAACACTAAGTAAGATAAAATTACATAAAATTATATAAAATAGCGAACAAGGTGAAAATCAGGCTTATTATTGCTGCAGCATTTGCATTTAGAGGCACAGAATTTGGTCCACAATTTAGAAACTGTAAGGTATAATAAAGTCTCATAGTTCCAGCTCATTAACGGCAAAAAGCCCTCTCTGTATTTGCAGAATCCTAAAATATCTACAGGTATTAGTAATGATTTTAGTTTTTTAAAAATATTGAAAAGCACTGCTTAGGCTAAGAGAAGTTTCTGCATAAGCAGGCAAAAATACATAATTGAGAGCTTGCCTGAAAAAGGCCTGAGTAAGAAAAACAAAAGTGACGTTTTATGGTTACTTGGAATCCAATGTCTTCTCTTGCCTCTCTCTGGTTCCGAAATTCATGTACAAAACTAGCAGCCTTTCTGAAGGGGGACAAGCATAGAAAGGCAATAGGCGACACTGAGCACAACAGACCTCATACCTGGGCCAGCCTTCCAGTCTCCTAATGGAGCGAATCATCTTTTTTTATTATTAGAATAGTCTAGAATAAAATATGGTAAAATTATCAATGCTTATCTTTATTCTTACCTTTCTGCCATCAGTAGTATACAGTTTCACAACTGGATACTGCATTAATTCACTCATATAATCCAGAAAGGCCTCAAAGGTCTGCGTATTTTTCTTTCCCAGAACTATGGTGCGCTTGAGTCTTACATCACCATTTTTGAAAACAAGCAGCTTTTTAGGAGTTGTTACTTTTCTTTCTCTGTGGCCAAATCCATCTTCATCCTCCTTTGCTAACTGCACTGCTCGACGACGAGCACTGACAGGCCTGCTGATCTGCCAAGGCAGTGGCTTTTTCCTAGCCCGTTCAAGGTTGATCGGTTTCATTTTCCTCTGGTGGGAACAAATATACGATTTTCCATCTTCAAGATCCTCCAGATTAGTGATGATGTGTCTCCCTTTTGGTGTACTAATATTCCTCACCCCAAAAGGTAACGGGACCCGTTTGGATAAACTGTCAAGCAAGGCATCAAATGTTTTGTAAGATCGATTATTAACAACCATTTTAATTCCATTAAACTGAGGATCTCCACTTTTGTAGAAACAGATCCGTTTGGCCACAACAGGTTCAGTGACATTGAAATGGCGTGTAGATAAAGTCTGTTCACTCTCAGAGGAGTTTGGCTGATTCACTGAGTAACTGGTCGAAGGCGTTTCGCTCATTTTGACAGAAATCTGGAAGAAAAAGGAGATGGATGTGAAAGTCCTCTCGTGGTTAGTAATAATACAATCTTCAGTTTGAAAGGTACAGAGAAACAATTTATAAGAAACTAAGAGCTGCAAATTGTGCCAAAAATCATTTTGGATTTAATTGGATCCAAGCTGTTATCTCTAAATTCCACAAAGACTCAATACTGTCGGATTAAGATAACATAGCTCTACTTGCAAATAGTCACAGAATCACAGAATCACAGAATAGCTGAGGTTGGAAGGGACCTCTAGGAACCATCTAGTCCCCTGCTCCAGCATGGACACCTAGAGCACGTGACACAGGGTGGCATCCAGGCAGGTTTGGAAGATCTCCAGAGAAGGAGACTCCACAACCTCTCTGGGCAGCCTGTGCCAGGGCTCTGTTACCCTCACAGTTAAGTTTTTCCTCAAATTTAGACGGAAAATCCTGTGCTTCAATTTGTGGCTGTTGCCTCTTGTCCTCTTGTCTAGTCCCAAAACTCTCCAATGTGATTTCAGATTATTTACAATTTTGGCACAACAGACCTTTCTTTAGAAAAAGGTAGTTTGATGGTCCATAATTGTAATTAAATGTTTTCTTTCTTGAGGGTGATGCTAATTGCAGCACTTCATAGCACTTCATACTTAATATTAGAGATTTTTTTTATAAGGAGAGAGTAATAAATGCTGCGTCATAGGCCATTTTCAGTCCAGAACAAATAAAATGAAACACAAAAAAACCCCACATTTATTCTGATTTCATGTGTTAATTTTATACCAGGGGAAATACATTGGTTTCAGAAAAAGAAGACTCCTCTTTTATTACACTGCACATTTTATCAAAATGAGCCCCCAAACCTGTTTTAAAATTGTGTTTTAGTGATTACACTTAGTAATCTGCATCATAAATTGCTTTTCTACTATAAGTTTTCACGACACTTCATGACATATAAATCAACCATTTTGTTATTAGCATTATACTAAGTGAAAATCTACAGATCTAAGTTGTAGTTTTCTATAATTAAACCATGTGAACACTGGTCATTAAGCAATAGATTGTTTCCGGCAACTATACGGATAGTCTTCATGCTTGAAAATGGAGCTCTCTCACTATATTCTGTTTGAATCTGATCTACATACAGATGCTTTAATGATGTCCCTTCACTGAACAAAATTACTTTATCTTAATAATTGGCCTGCTTTGACTGTAACACAAGCTAGAAATGGCTAGCCAGCTAATCAGCCTGGAGGAACTGAAAGTTTACCAAAAAGTTGTTCTAAAAACAAAGCAATCCTAGGAAATATGTTGTCATCAAAATAATATAAATTAAATTCTTTGACAAAGTCACCTTGAGGTAGTGCTGATACTGCTTAATGGAACACACTATCTCTTCTGGTTACTGCACATTTTTATTAATGTGCAAAACAATCTTTTGAGTTATTTTGCCACTATGTACATCGGTTTTGAAAATGATAAGAAAATGTTGCCATTTTTCAAGACAGTCAAGGGTCAAATGGAGTCTGATTTGACAAGATTTTTCTTATATTCTTACAACCTTTCTCCCCAAAAAACCAACTGTTTTCAGCTTGGATGTTTTGTTTTCATAGTGAATTAATATCTTTTTTTGATGTTCATGACACTACAGTAATAACAAGATATTTTATTTTGAACAATGATCCAAGGAGAGGAAGAAAATTCCCGTATTGTATTGTCTACACTGCAAATTATACTCTGTAAGTGCTAAAATTAGAAAACAATCTAACAGATCAGCACTTGTATACAGAGAGCGATTTTAGGTAATCAGCTTTCAATTAAAATGACTAAAAAAAAAGTATGAATATCCAATTAAGCAATACACAGGAAGAAATTATCAAGTTTAGTTGCAGCAGGTTAAGCAGTCCAGTCCATAATGCCTAAGGAAATGACTTTTTTTTCTGGTATCAGGAAGACCACTTCTACTGAAATCTATGAGAAATATAGGTGCTCATCATTTTTGACACACCGATACATTAGCTGCCTACATTTTGATTACACCTCTAAATTGACAGGCTGCTAGGTGAGTTAAGGACACAATCTGGATTAGTCACTTCACATCTCACGCTTCATTCTGTACATAGGGATTTTCCTAGAGGAAATCTGAGGGCATTTGTATTACTAGCTGCAACATAAAATTTCCTTGTTTACAGCTGAACATATGTTCAGCTCCAATGAGAGCAGAAATAAGAGCGCAAAACTATAATCCCATTTCTCCATTTAGCTGGCTGAGAAAACTTCAATTTAGTTAACACAGTCCAGGCCAGCATCTCTTAGGAAAGGGTGGAAACAATTAAGTCCATATTTTAATGGCTAGAGATGGGCGTGAATGGACTTAGCTCCTCAGCTTCTCTGTACAATAACTTTTTACCCACTATAGATCCCATATATTTACCCATATATTCACCCATATAATAGAGTGAGATTTAATCTAATTGTTCAATTATTTATTTTTACAAGACCTAAAACCATAAAATTTCTCAAAAGTTTACTGATAATAATAGCTTTTAAATCATACTCTTGTAAGTTGTTTTGGATATTTGTACTTCTGCCAAACAGTCAGTTATATAGGCATCAAAATTTTGAAGAGAAATGCAATACATTTTATATGGAACTAAATATTTGTCAATCTGGACACTGTAAAAGTAATGGAAATGAAGACAAGCAAAGAAAAAAAATCATAAACAAAAATGACACTTTTTAATAAATATGAAATAATATGAATGCGCAAAAGTAACTAAGAGAAAATTTGCTCTCTATAATAGCAAAACATGAAATTAGTGCAATCATATGCTTTTGGCAGGGAATACATCTTTGCAGAGCACGTTATGAATAAATACTTTTTAGCTTTAACATTAAAATGTAATAGTAGCATTTGCTTACACATCCTTCAAATATCTTATAATTATACCTTACAAATATCAAACATTTCAACAAAAGAGTAATCATCATATTGTAGAAGCTACTCTCTCATGCTACAAGTCATTGCATTGTAATAGCTTCACTTCAACTTAAACAGATTACAGACTTTTAAACTTTAATGTTTTTCTCCTAAAATTGCTAAGAGACAGCTAACTGGTTTTATGTAATCCAAAACATTTTATTTTTGAAATTAGAATGTTGAGAATTTGATTTTGCAAGAAAATAAAACAAAATTCAGAATTTGGTACCATTGCCTGCTTTCTCACAACATCACTCATTCAAAGTTTATTTAAAGCTGCTCAATTTTAAAAAGATACTAAATAGAACAATTTAAACTTTAAGAATATATATAGTGCCTTGTGGCTGTTAAGTATTAAATATAATTTTATTTTACTCACCGACAGTCACATCCTATGTAAATAAAAGAGTCGCTTGTTTTCAGAGTTTTATAAATAGTGCGTGTTATTGCCTATGCTATATGAAATGAACATCTATAGTCTTATTCCAAGTGTGGTCAGCTAGGAAAACATCATAATCCATTTGCTTAATCTCAGCTAATGTTAATCACCAGACTGGGTTCACCTTAGGCAGCTAATGTTCAGAGCAGAGGGTCTAATATCTCATTGCGTGAGCTCCCCTATATTATTTTTACAGTCTCTTCACCTTTTGAATATTTAATTTCTACACTTTTTCCTTCAGTTGCTTGCAAGACTCACAGAACCACATAAAATAAGAACTGGGATAGGGAATACAGGTTATCTAACCTATCCTCTTATCAGCACAGGGTTATCCTCCAAACTAAATTTTCTAGTGACATAAAATTTAAATGTGTCTACTGTTGGAGTTTCTTCTGCTCACCTTCTGAGACCATTTCTAACTATCTCCTGGTATTAATTCCTGCATCACAACTTCATTCAAAATTGAAAATGAAAATAATTCCTGTTTCTTTTCTCACAACAATCAATAAAACATAACACAGATCAGTGGAGTTTGTCATGAGGCATTCTTCATATTGCATAAATAATGCAACAGTATACATGTGTGAGTGTAATTTATGAATAAATAGGAGGTTTGTGTTTTACCATGACTTAGTTAAGCCAAATTTCTTTTTCTTTTTTCTTTTCCATTGGAAATACCATGTCCCCAGATGGTAACTGTTCTATCTAATTGCTACCAGATGTATAATGTGATTTGGAACTTCTTTACTTAATCAGGATTACAGCAAGCTCTCATAACTGGCTGTGTAAACCAGCAAAAAGAAACACTGCTCAGTGAATCACTGCCTGTCATGTTTTTTACTATTTTATTTATTTAATGTAATGCTTATAGAAGTTTTTAAATGATGCTTTTAGTTCCACTTCTGTATCATATATAGAAACACTATATAATTATATTGCACAGATATTTCACTACAAGCTTTGCTTTCTTAAATATTAATACAATTATTTAAGTTTTTAATATATGTCGGCTAATGTAGTGATTATATTCTTGCTAGTATTCTGTTACTTATACTTATTCCTCTTCTAAAATGGGTTATTACTGGCTACTGGTTTAGTAACCATATTTATCAGTAGAAACAACTTCTGAGCATTTGCAAGTTCCAAATGTTATTCTGATGTCTCTGAATTTAATTCTTAGATTGGATTTTTTATAGAGCTAGTTTTCTTTTAAGTGCATGATTGAAAATATTATTGCTACTCTCTTTAGCTTCCCACCGCACGCTAAGCCACTTTAAATAACCAGCTAATCCGTTAGTTGTTTTTGTGCACCACTGAACCCTGGGATCCAACAGATAATACTCCTGGGACCTAGTGAAAATAAGCAAATGTCATCATTTGACAATGTGATTGGCCCTGAATTCTCTAAGATTTCAGAGGATCACAAATCTTAAGTTACGGACTCTGTTTCTTTTTTTCTACTACTAAAAATATTACACATTTTATTTTTGAAAAAAATAGAAGCTTGCTTAATAGGCAAGGATACCATTTGTCTTTTACTATTTAAAAATCATTATACTTCATATATACAGATTGGGTGG